CTGTTCTTGTTTAATGTTAGTTGTGAAGTGTCTGTGTTCTTGTTTAATGTTAGTTGTGAAGTGTCTGTGTTCATGTTTAATGTTAGTTGTCAAGTGTCTGTGTTCGTTTAATGTTAGTTGTGAAGTGTCTGTGTTCTTGTTTAATGTTAGTTGTCAAGTGTCTGTGTTCTTGTTTAATGTTAGTTGTGAAGTGTCTGTGTTCATTGTTTAATGTTAGTTGTCAAGTGTCTGTGTTCATGTTTAATGTTAGTTGTCAAGTGTCTGTGTTCATGTTTAATGTTAGTTGTCAAGTGTCTGTGTCAGAGCAAGATGCAAACTCGAAAATTACGCCCAGATTTATATTTACTAAATGTATGAAACTATTTTTTTTTATTGTTAATTATTAAAATACGGCATTTTCCTCTGTTCTAATTTAATTGTTGTTCGTATTACACATGTAGTTTAACTGGCATATATGATTATCATTTTAAAAAATATTCGCTTCTGTAAGAAGAATTTCATCAATGAAGAAAATGGAAAGTTTGTTTGTTTGTTATGAATTTCACGCAAAGCTACACAAGGGGTATCTGTGCTAGCCGTCCCTAATTTACAAGTGTAAGACTAGAGGGAAGGCAGCCAGTCATCACCACCCACCACCAACTCTTGGGCTACTCTTTTACCAACGAATAGTGGGATTGACCATCGCATTATAACACCCCCACGGCTGAAAGGGCAAATATGTTTGGTGTGACGGGGATTCGAACCAGCGACCCGCAGATTGCGAGTCGAGCGCCTTAACTACCTGTCCATGCCGGGCCAAAAATGGAAAGAATGAATTAAACATGGCATATCCAAGAAACACAGAAACAAAACATCGGGGGAAAATTTTGTAAAAAAATATTAACCTTTTACTTTTATAAGATTCCTCTTTGCACTGCTGTAATTTTCAGCGATTCATTTTACACTACCTACAAACAAAGAACATTGATTTACAGCCTTTAACAATCATTCAGTAAAAAATACAACTAATATCTTACAAAGTTAACTGCACAAACCCAAAATTATTTGTTCAAATTAACTCTATTTAGAAAAAGAAAATTATCTTGGTGATAAAGTTTTTCCACAGCAATCAATTGTACATCAAACATTGTACATCATATTTAACCACCCATTCTTAACGAATGGATTAAACTTTAATTATGCAATCAACTTAAGATCACATTTCGTCCTTCCCAGTAACAAATGTTTCATACCAACTACACAAAATACTAGTTTATTTTTAAGTAAAAAAATCACATATTTACATCTTATGTTATCATACTGAAGAAAAATCTTTAACCACATAGTTGTGCTAACCACGAAAAAAGAAGTCTTGTACAAGTTCTGAACACTCGGTATAAGCTATCATATTAATTTTATAACAGCAACAAATACTGTTTTAAAGTTTATTAAGAAACCTATTCATCCGATGGATGTAAGCGGCACTAACTTTCTGCTGTTATTTACAACACATATCTACATTAATAAATACCATAATTTGTGTAAATACTGTGGCGTCTTTAACACTAAATAATCAACCGCTTATTATATCTCATTTTCAAAACTTGTGCAGAGTTTCAATACTGTTTGGTGGTTGCTTGACCATCCAAGTGCCCATGGTAACAAAACTGTACTGTTTTACAGTAGCTATGGTAAGTCCTATTTTACCTAATACACTAAAAATAATAACACACTTTAAATCACTAGCAAAAAAAAAGACTCTTAAGCATATTTTTTTTTATCTGGATCGGCAAGACTAGTTCAACTTTTTGATTAGAAAGTATTTGGAACTGGCTATTTTAACACTGTTGTCATTTCTTACCTTAATCTTGTTGATTACAAGAACTGTAAATCTTAAGTTTGGAATCTTACAGCAGCAAAATGTATAAACGCTATAAATGTAAATACTTGAACACTGCTATGAAATTTTGTTGACATGAGCTTTTATTGACCAATCCACTTATCTTCAGTCACTGTAAAAAAATCTGCTGTAAGCTCAAAATATATTATCTTCTCTTAAACCTTTAAAACATCAATAATGGTCCACAGTATCAGCTCTGAACTTCAGAACCTTTAAACAGTTGCATCAATAATGGTCCACAGTATCAGCTCTGAACTTCAGAACCTTCTGGTGACAAATGAAGATAATAATCACAGGTTACAATAAACTGTGAAAAGTAAAAACTGAGTAATGTACTGAAATTACTAGATTTATATAAAAACATAACTACCGTAAACCATATTTGCCCTCTCTTGACTAACCAAATAAAATATTTATATATGGTTTCTAGCAAGTTTACACAATGTTTGAAGTCAATTTTAAATAATCTAAACATAGTTTGTGGTCAGTATTTTTTCATCAGTAACACTTGTGGAGTTTTAACTTTGTCCTTTTTAATTGAAACAAATAAAACTTATCAACCAATTGACAATTTCTTGAACATAATAAGGAATGGTTTATTGTAACTGAAATCACATTGAATAAACTGAGAAACAACTGAAAGATACACAACTGCAATTAAAAGACTATTTCTAAAAGTTATAAGACTCACCTATAGCTTGTTTGAAAAGCTAACAACATTTCCCTTAATATCACCCTCATGATTTTTATAAACAATTACTTGCGAGTAATAATGCCAACACTGTTGTGTAAACATCATTCGGTTCTTTAACATGAGCAAACTATGAATGCAACAAATATTATCTTAATATTTATTCTCAGGTAACTGTTGTTTTATTGATGACTCGTGTACCTACATGGTAATTCGACTTTTGCATAGCTTTACTTAATTTTTTATTTTGTTCTATTGATTTGTGGTATTTCCCTAACTCTTTGCCTAAAAAGCCCTAAATGTATCAAATCTTTCTTTAGCAAAAGCAATGGTAAATTCAACATTTCAATACTCTAAGCAAAATTAAACTGAAAGCTAGGTATGTGTCACTTTAAAGAAAAATGGTTCAAAATTTATCAAATCAATATTTAAAAATATCTATGTCATTCTGAAATAGGCTAATGCTGTGAATCACCATTTGAGAGATTAAAATAAATCTTAAAAAGTTAGCCATTTTGAAAATGTGTTTCTTACTCCCTAGATGTTTCTTCAATCTTCAAAACATCTCTCTTTGAAGAAACCCATGCAACAGAGTTGATTTTCTTCTTTTTTTTCTTTAATATTAAAATGTTAATATTAAAAACAAGTATCACTAAAGCAGCTTCAGAAGGTGGAGTTTATCTTCCTAAAGCCATTGTGTAAATTATTCTTCAGTTCCTGTTGATTTAATTTTGGATCCTATATATCCTCAAGTAACATACTTCAATTATTCACATTATACATACAATAACTTAGAGCCAGGTTAAAAGTAATACAATCATACAAAAAATACATCCCCTATATCTCCAGCACAACTAGAAGTCCTGAACATTCTAGAAAAGTGTCCTCAACAAATGACTATATTTCTATAACAATAAAAGTAGTTACTTAATGTTACAATAACATTGATCTCAGGCCTCAGATTGTGAATGAGCAAGCTCTCTTGTATTCTGCGGCTCTGTTCATCACTAGCCCTTGCTAGAATCTTACACAGGAATGGACAACAATGTTACATTCTCACAGGGGTAATTCAAATACGTGCATTAACATAAGATCTATTAGCATTTTTAGGGCCACATGCTGAGCCTGAATTTAATGTTATTGGAACAATAAGTTCTGTTGAAATAGTTATATCTAGTCACAGTAACAATTTTTAAGTACTTATGGTTTAAGTAATATCAATCTGGGGTAAGTCTTGAAAATAAAATAAAATAAACGTTCAAATTCTTATAAAGTTCAATCCTAAACTTCTTGATATATACAATATAATAAAAACTGTGCCACCAAAGTTTAATGCTTGAAATTTAAATTGTTTATAAATACATAAAATCAAAATAGTGAATTTACTAGGTATAATAATGAACAATTTTAAAATACTCTAATTAAGAACTCTAAAAATACAAGTGTGTGGTATTTCACTTGTCTTCTTAACAAGTTAGATCTGAGGGAATGCTAATGTATATAAGTTTTCATTATTGCCAGGGCCTGCCTGGTTTTTCTTATACCAGCATAACATTCAAGTTTCAAGGCAGTTTGATCACAACTGATGATGTAAGACAAAGCTTGTTGATATCACAACTGACATTCAGGGGTTCAACTTTACTGACAATATGCAGATTTGAACATCTTCTACTCCTGAGCAAAGCCTTCAGTTTCTTCAACAGCATAGGTCAACTTCTCAACTAACTGGTCATAGTTCTTGTATGGTGGCAAGTCCAGTCTGTTGAAACAGGTGTGGCTTCGTGGAAGCCAAGTGTCCTTCCCAACTTTCTCAATACAGAAACGCTGTGGCCCATTGCTTCCTGTAAAGAAATAGTATCTCTGTACATTAATTTGATGGGATTAGCTACACAGTTGTGTAGCCATGAATTAAAGACATTTGTGTGTATACATCTACATATAGACATTAATAAAATTTATTATAGAAACATAAGCAATACATATATAAGTCACACACACATTGAATAAAGGCAACTGTACAATGTATTAGCATTTTGTAGTATGTGAACCCTTTCCTTAATACAGAGCATTACACACTGTTTTCATACTGCAGTCTATCAGTGAAAATGTGTGAATATGTGTTACTCCTCACAGTTCAGTCAAGTTCTTTAGTCATTTTTTCACTCTCTCAGTTTCTATATAAGCCCATATATCTTCAAGTACATTCATATATTAATTCTTTGTGCAAACCATGTCATGAATGCAAGTATTCCATTACCTTCTTTACCATCCAGATATTATTTCATTTGCATTCTTCAGAGCATTGTCTTTGTGAAAGATGAATCCATGCCCAATGAGTCATGTTCTTGAGGGAATGGTATGATATACTTGTCAGCAGCCAGTGTGCCCTCAATTCTGTTTTAGATCACAAACACTGTTGGCCAAGACACAGTCCAAAACTTGTAATTATCACCCTGCAGATGTTGTACTGGCTACGATACAATTCTCTTCCCTGCTGTCAAACAAGTTGTCTTTGACTGTTGCTGAATAATTCGAATTTGGACTCAAATGTAAACAGAACACACAACTTCAACTTTGCCTTATTCCAGTGTTCATAGTAATAATGCACATTTAAAATTTGTAGCATGATTACCTCTGCTCAGCAGCAGTTTTCAAATAGCTAAATCCAAAGAGAACGCTTTGAATGGAATGTCCTTGACTAGCCAAAACGTTTAATTCTACATTTTCTTGTCATGCTGTATTTCAGTCCTTGGAGCCATTTAATGGATCACACTTGTACTACTATCCATACATTACTATGGCAACCTGTACTTTTACCAATCAGTTTACAATATCAACATGTGACAGTACTTTGAAGCAGTTAAATTTCACATGATAAAGAAGTGGCATTCCTCTATATTTGCCTATTATATCCTTATTTCCATAATTATTTATTGTACTGTATGGTTTGATGAGCTTACAAGAAAAATATATTTATAATAGATGAATATTTTTTTCCTTCTAGGAAAATAAATGTTAAAGGTATATCTTTTATTAATCATTTGTTTGACCTAAGAGAGATGGTTAACATACAACATAAAACAACATGATACTGAATTTAATTCTTTAAGAATGAGGATTAATTTAACTTTCATATTTTTCCCTACACATGGCAGCTGTACATTGTTATAACATAATAAACTTTCAAATTAGAGAAAGAGCATAAAGATTTGTTTAGTAAAATTGAGTTTTACTTTTATTATCAGTGTTTTTCATTGGTCAAATATAGTTTCCTGCTTAGCCAATTGGCTTAAAAACTGAAACAAAATCCAATTTTAGAAGTTGAAGTTAAACTTCAATTCATACTTGTTCTAGTTTTGCTAACAGCAATTGACAACATAAAAGAAATATTCTATATAGAATGAAATGAAGAACAAGCCTATTCAAATGGTAGATCACAAGAACAAAGTAAGATACAAGCAAAAATACCCTTTGATAGAAAAAGGTTATCAACTAATAGTAATACCCTAGTTAGATGTACAGAAGGATCAATAATGTTAAAAAATGATTGTAAAATCACACAATGAAATCTAATATCGCACAGGAAATGGTAAATTAGAAAATAGTTTTTCAAAAACAAAACAGATATCTATATTAACATTATATCTTTCAAATCATGCAGCCTGAAAGTGACGACTATGCTCACAACCTCTAACACAGCTTGAAAGGTAAGTTGTTTGTGTAAAATTCACTCAAAAAAGTTAATATAATGAATATCTACATGAGTTTATTTAAGTATGAATTTTTGCATATCACCTTCTCCATATCATGATCATGAAATATTCTATCAGAAAAAAAAGATCAATATACCGCTGAGCCTGGTTAAACAGTATTTGTTTGTCATCATACTTTACTTTTACTTCACTATGAACCTGACAGATTTTACATGTGAACCTAATCTTTGTATTTCCTTCACTAATAATAATAATAATCACAATTCAGTTTTATGTCTGGCAATATTTATGAAAAAAAACCCATGTGTTAATTTTAGATTTTATTTTGCAAACATTTTAATTAAGGAAAAAAAAGAAAACTTTAAATTGTTAAAAGTTTTTTTTTGCCTCAGCTTCCAAACTGCAAGGTCTGCACTGTACAGAAGACATTTTTTAAGTGCTTGTTCTCAAAATATGATTATTATTCCACAGTTTGATGACTTGGCATCTTAGTTGTCAAATTAGGACTAAAATTTGTTCCATGATGTGTTTCTTCTTTGAATAATAATAAAACTAGTAATTAGTTTGAAAATCTTATAAAAATGAAAAACAAGAAAATTTACTGAAATTTTAAAAAGTAATGTGTTGTTTTCACAGTTTCTCTAAAGAAATAAACTAGAACTACAACTGGTTTTTATCACTAATGCCAGACCAAATAAACATAATTAATATTAAAACAACTTACCAATGAGTTCAGCAAAACCATTTACTGGCACTCTGCATGTGCCTGTTACAAATTGAAGCAGACGAGAACGCTTTTCATTGTCCATTTTCTTAACAAACTGCCAAAACCATACAATCTGTTTACTGTTTTTGGTGTAGTGTCGATAAATAGTATTTTGTTGCCAGTCGTCTACATTGATTTCTTGCATTCCACACAGCATTAACTGATAAAAAGCCAAGTACAAAGTGTTTAATTAACAGTCATGTAAACAGAATGTCAAAAATGTACTTTGTTTTTCAAATAATTGTTTTGCTCAAAAGATTTCAATTAAATTTAATTTTTCAATCCTAGGTACATTAATGTTGATAATCTTATTTCATTAAGATAAAGCCCTCTTACTATAAGTAAAAACATATGAATCTATGTCCATTTAACCACCTGTACAGTTATAATCCAAAACTCTGAACCGGAGTTCAAAAAGTAATCTCACTATATAATTTCTATAAAACAAACACATACACACTGTGTAGTTTATGGATAAAGCTTTAACAAGAATGACCTTGAGCTTAAGAGGTTACATGCGACTACATTCGGTATAATAACAAATACAGAGGTAACCCTCCTTGACCTAAGATACTGTGCAGTCAGCAGAGTTGACCTAAGATACTGTACAATTAGTAGATGAAGTTTTCACAAGCCCACACAAGAATGAACTTGAGATTATGAAGTTACACGTGATCACACCTGGTATGTAGTATAACAAATACAAAGGTAAGCCTACAAGAAATAAGACTTGTGTTTTAGCAAGTAAATACAGAAAAAAACAATACTGTATGAAAAGTGAAATGTAATCATCATACATGGAGATAAGATCAGGTATATAAATGCTTTTCATTTACTTAAGTTGTTATTACTGTTCATGATTTCATGATGTTTATCCTCACATCTATAAAAGTTCTCTAATTAAATATCTAAACATGTTTTAGACTAGCCATCACAATATAGTTAATCTTTCTGATAATTTTGATTTCAAGCTATACAAACGTATACCTCAAGTTCTCTCTCATCAAAGTAATGTAACCACTCTAATGGTAAAACCTCATTAAAGCCATCAAGAAATGCTTTGGTCTGGTCTTCCTGTCCTCGTGAAAATCTCCATTGTGTGACAAGCCTGTATAATATAATAGAATTATATGAAAGAAACTATACATAATTGTTGGAAATAATCATAGTATATTTCTCACTGAAGTCTGGTTTAAAATGGAGTAAAACATATACACAAACCTTAAAAGTATCTTCAAATATAAATTTAACAAGTGCATAATTAAAACACTTCCTACAATATGACTAAATTCATTAACAGAAATAAAACTTTTTCAACTTCTGTAGCACATTAAAATAGGAGGAGTGCTGAACACAGTACTCTTTAGAATACTGGATTTATTTTACGCAACAGTCAGGGTTTTTAAAAAAAATATTTATGCTCCAAAACTGGTTGTTTCTGAATCTTACAACAGATCACATGCTTTCAAGAAACTAAGAAATTTTTATTGTATTTTCATAAAGTGTAAAATGAAAAAAAAAAAAAATCACCTAAACTGGTTATATACAAGTTGGTTCCAAATCCAACTAAAAATAAAAAAAAGCACATCCTATTATGAATCTGTGCTATTTTCTTATGCGATATTAATGTTTTACAAAAATATACATATTTTAACATTCATATAATGTTTATACATTTCTTGTTTGATAAAAGCATACCTCAAGTACTCATCTTTGTTGTCTTCTGTAACTTTAATTTCTCCACCACCAGGTTTTAGGTCATGGGAAATCACTTCCCCAAGCACCTCAAAATTTACGGAGAAGTACATTTCCATTTCAAGTTCATCAATGTTATTTTCTCTGTAATGTTAATAATAAAAAAATTACTGCATGTTTTTTCTTTTCTTTAGTAGATAATGTTAATATACAGAAATAATACAGAGGTTGATAAGTTACATTAAAATGATTTTGGAGGCTCACCGTGTTGTTACAGTCCATGTTGACACATCTAGTCATGCTCTATCTGATGACCATGTGTCTTTACGATACCCCTGCAGCATAGTTGTAACTGCAAGAGTATCTGTCATAAGGCTGTCAGGTCCAAAGCACACAATTCCTAACTGCTGCTTTCAATACTCCATCTAGTTTAGGAGGACCACAATTTTCCAACATCCATTTCAACAGTCTGCTCGTGCAGAAATCCATAGATGTTGCATCTGATGATTGGACTGGCATGTCTTTATATGAAGTATCAGGAAGGCCCACTTCATTTTCCAGCTGCTTGAGGTTATCCATCAGTTGAACAGATATGTCACAGTAGTAACTTATGTTGCTTCTTCAGGTGGAATTCCATCTAAATTTTGTAGTGTGCCAGGAACACATGGATGGCTTTTGACACTGACCTTTGTGTTTGTGGATTCTCAACCACTACCAAACATCACATGTCATTCCACCAAAACTTTATATCAGCTGTGGTTATCACATGATTTTCATATTCAAAATTATTTTAGTATAACATACTCAACTCTCTGTACATTCTACGTTTTGTAGCATTTCGTTTGTCTTGTAACACTTCTAGCTATCAACTTTGTCATATTTGTCTAGTAAGAAATCCCAAATATGGTTGCAAGATGCAAATATAGAAGAACTCATTTTCACTTGCCTTACTAGGTAATGTTAGACATATTACAGTACATGTTATTACATTCTTGATTCATCAACAAAATTTTATAAAATTACTACATTAAGAATACTTTTACATTGTAAAAACAATTTACTAGACCAACAAATCTAAGACTCTAAACACAGCCCTCAGATCCAAATAATTCTAGTGCTGTTAATTTTAGCCATTAGAACATGATGCAAAAATTAAAAAAACAAAACTTGTATTAATTTTTTATTGTACTTTGATTGTCAAAGCCACAAATATTGTTACATTTTAATATGCTAAGTTTAAGTAGGATATTGCTGCTGACTGAGAACAGCATTACAAAGTGGCTACTCATGACATTAGGCACCTCTTAAACTTCAACAAAAATAAGGTTGTGGCACTGTAAGTCACTATTATAATCTCCTGTAGTGTCAGGTAGTCTAACATCTTTAAAACAAGCCTAAAACCATCACAGTCAAAATGATGAAAGTAAGAACATTAGTCATATAATTAATTATCTTCAGATCCAAGTTTGCTTAGATGTTAAATTGGTTTAATTTTTGTAATGATGATTTTACAGTAGAATATAATCTATGAAAATCAAGTAAAAGTTCTATGACATCTCTGTAATTTTTCACTTTCATGTAAACCTTTTTTCAATTATTTGTTTCCAGATATCAGTCTCTTGGCAGCTACATCAATTTATGGATAAAGATTTTTGAGAAACATATTTCTGACTTTAATATCAGTTAATGTAGTAACTATTAATTTTTTTTCTAACAAATGAATAATTTCTATAAACAAGGAGACAGACTCTGTAATAAGTGAATGCTAGTTTGACATTTTTTATATGTTTGCATGGATACTCAGCAAAGAAATGTGCCTTTTGTCAGTTTGGGGAATTATCTTTCTCTTGATTTTTACTTGAAAACACACTGAAGAACCATTCTATTCAGAAGTGATAGGATTAGGAGATTAATATTGCAGTGATCCATGCTTATGATAAATACACATCCAACAAAATAAATGATTCCACATTAGTTTAATCTAACTTATATACTAGTCCTGCAGATTCAGGAAAAATACAACTTAATGTGTCAAACTATATTCAAAATTTAAAACAGAAAATTTTAATTAAAATTTTTCATTAACCCTGAGTACGGGTGGGGATCAAAGTGCACATGCCACAACAATTAGTTAAACAAGTTTATTATCAATGACTGTCAATAAATTTGGCATCAAAACAAAAAGTTTACAATTCAAATTTTAATTTCAAATCTTAATTTCAAAGGCAAATTATGTAAATAAATTTTCAATATTCACTTCTCTGTATTTTATGACACTTTTGTTCCAAACTGCCAATTTTAGAGGTCCTTTCTACCACTATATGGTATACTAAGTTTATTACAAATTACACCTTTAAATTATAGCTATTATTTTACTACAATATAAACCAGAAAATGAAACCCACATATTATGCCCTCCTATCACATTCTGTCTTTCAAAAATGCCAATAATTCTCTCTGACATTTGCAGTTGGATTATTTAAACAATAGAAAGAGAAGATTTATAATTTAATAATTTCTGTATAAAGCTAGCTCATTATGACAACAGTTTTTGAATTATTCAGTCTACAGTTTCATATTTGCTATTGTCCATATCACCTCAATCAAGTAAAGGAATTATTTTAATGTATTTATAGTTTAGTCAGAAAGCCAATTATCATGATATAAAAGACCGTTAAGTTTAGACGTTAGTGATTGAATTGTTTTTGTGAGTGAATATTTTATTATTGTTTAGTTTTTGTTATAATAAGAGTTAAGGGCAGATGATTGTCAAGGTTTTGTTAATAATTCATTGATGTTGAGACTATTGAACGTCATGTGCAATACATTGACGTCGAGAATATAGAAGGCGGACAGACGATTAGGTGATAAAGATATAAATAGCGTGAGATGAGTGGGAAGCAGCAGACAGACAATAGCAAAAGAAGGTAAATTTACAAAAGGGGAAAGTGATAGGCCTAATGATTGACATAAGACTGACGCTTAATATGTTTGAGTAAGACTAGCAAAAGATAAGAAGAAGAATTATTTCGTCAAAGCATGGTTCTAAAGTAAATGAATCAGCCTGAGTGCACTTTGACAAAAGGAACAGAGGATATTTAGAAGAAAGAAGACCAAACAATTACGGTAACTTGCGCCAAAATTGTAAGTGAATCACACACAGAATACTAGTGCGATAATAATAGAGAAGATAGTTTGACTTGTCAACTGAAATTCTAAAGTAATTGAATAGACCTAAGTGGACTTTTGACAAGAAGGAGAGAACTACATATATAGTGTTTATGATATGCTTATAATCTCTGTAGTGTGAAGAATTTTTTGTACATATGTTTAACTTGTTCTGAAAACAAGTAAAGTGCCTGCTGTTTATTTATTGTTGAATTTATCGCTAAAAAATCACAGAAACCAATTGTAGAAGAATCTTAAGCCCAACAAAAACATCGTATATATTTATACTATTAAGAAATATAACTAAAGCCTTTTATTTTGATAATTGGCAAAAAAGAAGAATATAAATTTTAAATTCTGACACCAATTAAATGATAATAGTTTTAGGACATTGCTCTTTATTGCATGTTAATATTTTGTGTTCTAAGTTGCATATCTGAAGTTCAAAAAAGTAATTTTACATGCTATAAAGAACCCTACCATAAAATAGGGTTAAGTTTTGATGAAACATTAGTGATCAAATGAAAGCCTCCACATACATATATATATATATATATATATAATCATTTAATGCATATACATTAATTTTTGATCAGTTATCTATAGTCATAAATGGATAAAACTTGTAGTAATAGCACCCAAAAACCATTGGAGATATCCCATCTATCAAGCAAAATCCAAAATGCCGAAGTTAAACAAGTTGACCATCATAGAAAATCAAAACAAGGGTGAAGAGGTGAGTGCTTATACCCACAATATCTCACCCCCTACTGCCTTTCCCTGTCTGCAGCCAGATGTGGGAAGATAGTTACCCTTGAAGACTAAAAGTAGAAATAGAACCACCCAAAATATCTACAATAAAAAACTCCCAACCACCACCCTTATAAAGGTCTTAAAAAAAAGGAAATTGTATATCATTAAATTCATTAAACTCAATTAAGAACCTTAAATTTATCTAGATATAAAATAGACTTGTCCTTTAATATTTTTAAAAACGAAATAAAAAAGTTCATGGTAATTTTATTACACTTATTGATAAAGCTCGATGTAACTTTGGCTTTATATGTAAAAAATTATATGCCCAAAATTTAATTAATGAAATCAATCCCTCGAGTTCTTTTGCAAAAACTGCTTTAAAGAAAGATACTATTATTACTAATATAAAGAAAGCAGTTAAAAAATGGAATATATACATAAACTGCTACAATCTACCATTTTTATATGCTATCCCTAAACTGCATAAGAATCCTGTAAAATTTAGATTTATTACTAATTCTTTAAATACTGTCACCAAATCAGTTTCCATTGCACTTAACAAAATGTTAGATATTTTGTTTAAAAATATGAAAACAGTGTTATCAAAAATTTCAGGAAATTTTTTTTTTGATTGTTTGCTTGTTTGTTTTTGAATTTTGTGCAAAGCTACACGAGGGCTATCTGTGCTAGCCATCCTTAATTTAGCAGTGTAAGACTAGAGGGAAGGCAGCTCGTCATCACCACCCACCACCAACTCTTGGGCTATTCTTTTACCAATGAATAGTGGGATTGACCATTACATTATAATGCCCCCACGGCTGAAAGGGTGAGGATGTTTGATGGGACGGGGATTTGAACCCGCGACCCTCAGATTGCGAGTCGAGCACCTTAACCACTGGCCATGCCGGGCTTTTTTTGGGATTATAAGAAATATTATTCCAATTATAGAATGATTAAATAAGCTAGATTCTTTAAAAACAGCCAATTCAGTCGCAAATTACAATTTTACTACATTATATACTACAATAGATTTGATAGACCTTGTTAAGAGTATTTAATAACCTGCTTGATAATTTTATAGATGCAGAGATGGGTATTAAAAAATATAATTTCACTAGGATCCAATGTAAAAATATATTGTACTTTTGTATTTATAATAGTTATATATCTTTTAATCAACAGATCTATAAACAAGTGATGGGTATTCCAATGGGTGCTAA